TATTCTCCAAATGATCGATTTCTAATTAAAATCTTTATAAAAATCATCAGTTTGGATAGCTCCCAAAGGGTACCCCCCATGAGCCCATGTCCCCCATTAATAATAACCATGGTTTGCCCCCGATTAATCAACCACCTTTCTGATCCATGAGATTTTAACAAATCCAATAGAATTCTATTAAGATCTAATTGACGTAAACCATATCCAAATTTTTATGGTTCAGAGTTGCTTATATTATTAAGGGGTGGTCAAGAAACTAGCCAGAAGGTACCCCCCTACCTACCAGGGGGGGGTTGATTAATCCGATGTTGGCATTATATATAATATATATACATACATACATACATACATACATGCGTTGATTGGTCTGGTCTTGATATGTTTCGACGCAGCATGGCCCTGTGGAGCGTGAATACAGAGTTGTCTCTTGTGTCTTGGTGATGATGGGGATCATGTGCGGGGTATAGCATGATATACCCGAGTTACCCCGAGGTTTCAATGGGAAAATCGTTTATACATGGTGGATGTTCTATAGTTTTCCCAATTGATCATTGGTTTTTCATGTCTTACCAACTGATAACCAAAAAAGCGTAATGTTTCTTTATTAACCAACTGATCTGATGGCCTTTGATATAAATGCGGGGTTAAACAGCAACACTGGAGATTTATCAACAGATGGTGTTTTTATGTATTCATATATTAGCGCTACCAAAACAATAGAGATCAAAATTAAGGATGGGTTGAACTATAAGGTGAAAATACCAACTGATGAAGAATTGAGCAACTACGTCAATGGAACTTGGGACAGTGTCAGTGCCCTTATGATAATAGAGACCCGGTCAATCAACTATCTGTTGAGCAACTTTGTAGCAACCAACAGGGGATTGAGTGTATTGACATCTTTATCTAAATTTGGTTCCCTTCCGCAGGGTGGTGTTCCACTGTCCTGAATTGGCTGACCATCATTGCACTAGTCCCGCTTCATACTCATCCAACATAGCAAGAAAGATATTGATTGACCAACAATTGGGAGGAGTGGTGAATGACAACAACCCCACTTTCATGAAGACTTTATCAGTGTTGATGGTTGCAACCTTAAGCGGTTGTCATTCAGAATAACAGATGCAAATAACAAAACTCTCAATCTATATGTTCAGTTTAGTTTGGTCTTCTCTCATCAAAATTATTGATAGAAGGAGGTGCCTAAATGAGATAGAGAGGCCAGCATCCTCAGCGCCTCATGAGGAAGTCCAATTATGAGCATGTTTTTGCTTGAAGGTATCGTTCTTTAACCTGTACACAGCATTCTGGAAACGAGATATGGGAAGAACAACAAACATGTCTTAAGTCCAAATGTTTCCAAAAAAACAGGCCAAATCTCCTCCCAGTTATGTTTGTTGGTTATATTCCCGCATTAACTATTCGATATATCTACCATAAACCCAAACCCCCGGAAGTTATTGGCACAGGATCTCCTCGTGTCGCGTCCCTTCCTGCTTCCTGGCGCTGGTGATTTTCATGAAAGATTCAGGATGTTTTTAACAGTCATATATAAACCAACTAAATCCTGCTTTTGATAGTGAATATTAGTATCCTCGTCAAATATCCTGAAATATATTTGGTGATGTTCATTCAATTATTTTATGAAGATATTAGATCAACTTTAGTAAAGAGTTAAATCACATATCCATATGGGGGGATGGTCATCCCCCGATAGGGGTTCATAGGCACATTGTCAGGAATCCCTACATAATAATGGTGGGATGACCATACCCCTATACACCATGTCAAAATGGACATGTGTGGACGGATCAGGGTGAATGGACATATAGCCACATCAACGAATGATATACCAAGATCTAAATTCCCGGAGATATGCTGTATTTGCAGGGATAGGCTGCTAATAGAACCTGGATCAGGGCTCCCCAGCGACACTTTTTTGATTGGAAATGGCATTCTTGTCTTTTGAACTTACATGATGCTGGTTTTCTCTTTTTGATAGGCTATGTCTTGAGAAATTTGGACTGCAGGGTAGATGGTTATGTCCACAAAATATCAATTGAATCCCCTTATTTCATTAGTGAAGCATCATTGTTCCACCTGACATGCATGTACATTTGGGGAAGCATACGTCCTGCTGCTGCCCGGTATATCATATATCCGATGATTTCGCATCATATCCGCCCTGATGGTTGGTTCTGTACCGGTGGATGGATTCTAGTCATTAGTTTTGTGACCTTTAGCAACGATTTTTTTGGGTGCAGATGGCTTGACCAATAGCAATATATGCCACTATATTTATTTATATGTTACTCGTATGTGTTGTTGAACATCCATGAGCTGGTTTGGGAAACCCCGTCTTTGGGGGTAGTGCTTGCTTTCTGCTCGCTTTTCCTTGTAATCAATCCATCGAATTTCAGCATTTTTCGGGGGGATCCCGAGTCTGTTGGTTTTCGCGAGACGACATCCATGTATAGTGAATGGTGGATGCTAGGACGCTAGTTATCCTTGGAATATTTTTGATATGGCTTTATTTCGATGAATGCTGTTACCACCTCTGCAGCAACCCCCGATAAGATAGAAAGGTTGATTCTGGATCAAGTACCTTTCTATCTTTTTGGGGCTGCTATATACTTTATATGACAAAAAAAACTCTATCCCTTATTATTATTCCCCAGTTTACCCCAGTGATATGCCATTGTATACATATAATATACCAGTAGTACCGCACAAGGCGGTGGCGGAAGTTTCAAAAATAGGAAACCTATAGGAGAGCTTGGTTGTTGTGAATCCGGGATGGCAGAGCGAAGCCACTGATGGACTGAAAGGTGGTTGAGGTCTCCTCTCTTTCTCTTTCTTTCTCTCTTTTTCTCTCCGTTTCTCCATCTTTCCCTGATTATCTACCGACCTACCTACTGATCTATCTGTCTACCTATCTATCTGTCTACCTATCTATCTGTCTGTCTGTCTATCTATCTCCCTATCTATCTTTCTTTCTTTC